GTATAATGCTGTTTTTAATTATTTGTTTTTACCACCATAAATAATTTAAAAAGGGGAGACAAAAGATAGCACTTTGTTTGGAAATGACCCACATACAAGATGTAAAACGATGAAACAATTATTTAACACATATCCAATATATTTGTACACATTTACATTTAATAATGTTACTACTCTTACACGTTCCTAGGCCTATTTCATTCGAGAAGGCTACCAGGGTATGGTTGACGGTGGCGAAAACATCGTCGAAGCAAACTGGGCATCGGTGTCATCGATCATTCATCGCGGTGGCACAGTGATTGGCTCGGCTCGTTGTGCAGAATTCCGTGAACGCGCTGGTCGCCTAAAGGCTGCATACAATCTTATTCAAAAGGGTACGCGAAAAGTTACGTTCCTTTGAACTCTTCCGTTTCAATTTATTATCGTCTCGTTTGAAAAGGCGTCTCCAACCTAGTTGTGATCGGTGGTGATGGTTCACTTACTGGTGCGAATTTGTTCCGTACGGAATGGTCTGGCTTGTTGGACGAGCTGCTAGAGTCGAAAAAAATAACACCTGAGCAACGTAAAAAGTTCGACGTCTTGCATATTGTAGGCATGGTGAGTTCATTTTATCAATTAAAAAAGAGATACTGTAAGTGCCTCGCTATTTGTTTTTTTTTTGGGTTTATTTCGTAACATAATTTAATTCTAAATTTTCCTTTCTTAGGTGGGCTCCATTGATAATGATTTTTGCGGCACTGACATGACCATTGGTACCGATTCAGCTTTGCACCGCATCATTGAGGCTATAGATGCTATTGTTAGTACTGCCTATTCTCATCAACGTACATTCATTATGGAGGTGATGGGTCGTCATTGTGGGTAAGTTGTAGTAAGACATGTTTATCTAGTTTAAAAAATATTAAATACAATTGAAATAACAAAAAAGTGCAAGGCCTAACATGCTTAAGTAAAAGCTCCCACCACCAATTGGCGAGAATCGAAAAAGAAAAAAATTCTTGGATGGATATATTTAACTAAAATTTCTTATCACCATTAACTGACTGCCCTTAATTTACGATTTCCTTCTAAATGCAGTTATTTGCCTGTAGTTACTGGTATTATTTCCGAAGCTGATTATGTATTTTGTCCTGAATCGCCACCACCGTTCGACTGGCCCGAACGTCTATGCAATAAGCTTATACAGGCAAGCCAAATAAGACTTTTTCACATAACCATTTTACATTTTAGATTAATATTTTTCGCAGCCAGTGTATTGTTGCCCATTTTGAGTTGTCTATTTAAAAATTTTAGCGCGCCAATTGGTTCAGCATGGCCACAAACGTATATGGTTATGAACAACTTCAAATACAACGATTCTATAGTAATATTTTATTGTAGAGCTTCAAACAAAAATTAGTTTTAATTTAGCTTAATGCTTCTTTTGTTTGTTGGCTGTATGGAATGCTGATCCGACGCGCTTTGGTCCGAGTCAATATGAGAGCATTGAAATGTAGTGTTAGTTGCACACGACCATCCTCTAGTACATACACACATACATTAATACTTTTCTCTCTGAATACGATTGGAACTTAATTGGCTATAAATTGTTACAAGTGACAAATAACTACATACTTAAGTACATAAGTAAACATACATATGTACATACTTACATACATATACATAAGTACATTTATGTTGTCTAAGAAACCCGAGTTTATGTCTTGATTGAATAACGAATTAATAACAAATAAACTACTGCTTGAGTCAGCTGTACTGTTCAAGAAAATACATAGTATATCGAAACTACATTGAGGCATTGCGCTCTGTTATTGGGTATAGTGTATTTTTAGGGAACAAATTAGAGCAAGAAAAGGTAAAACATATTTTAAAAACGCAAAATGCTACATTATGTACTTAGCACATGCTATCAAAGTAAACCGACGGGAGCAAATTCACTCTAGGATCCGCATTTGTTATGGTTACTGTTTGTTGTCTGTCGTTTGTCATGGTGCGTGAATCTTTCTTTTTACAGCTATTTGGCACTTGTAGCCGGTCTTTCCAGCGAGGCTGATTATATTTTCATACCTGAAAATCCCCCAAGAGCAAATTGGCCCGAAAGATTATGTCAGCAATTGTCGCAGGCAAGAAAAAAAAAATAGAAAAATTGAAATAAACAATTTAATGGAGTAGCAAAGTTTGTATATACACATGCATGCATAGATACATACATACATATAAACACTTCTTTAGCTTAATACAGAAATGCCCTAACTCATTTTCTTCCGAAATTCAGCTTTGTACAAAGGTCGGTAGATTATCAATAAAGGCCTAATCGAATGTAAAAATTACTATCCAGGATTTTCAAGAAATTCCGAATTTATTTACATATAAAGTATTGTAAATACTCTGTAAAGACACAAACATTGTACATAGGGCCTTTCTATATTAAGGTAAAGCACGATATGTATAGATGTGTAAAAGTATACGCATACGTGTTGCATATATACATATGTATATGTATATACATACAAACATATGTACTTAGAACGCTGGTATTCATCATCTAGATTTTTTTGTTTTCTAAAGTAGCCGCTTTTGCAAACACGAAGACGAAATTCTTACAAATTTGAGAAGAATTATTTTATTTTTTAATGCACCTTCTTCGCAGTTGGTAATTGAACAATTTGGTATTGAACAATTTTTAATAAAAAAATGCATCCTTTGCCTAACAGGTCAAGCAGACCGATTTCTTTTCGAAATTCAAATTTCGGAAATGTCCAAATTAACAAATTTTTGCAGTGGTCGGTCACATTAGAAATACATACTCTAAAATATTCAAAGGACGGCTTCAGAGTACTCAGTCGATTGATTTAAAAATGACCAGTTTTAACAATTTTTACAAGCTTGGCGCACGCCTTTTTCAGCGCAGAAGTATTCCCACTTAAAGAAATATTCATTTTTATTACTTATGTATGTACATATGTGTTTACCTAAGCGAAGGAGGGGCTGTGCTTATGCTGACTTCCCTGTGCTCATAATATTCCCTTTATTTTATTTCTTCTACTTAATTAAACGCCGACGTTTTCATTCATTGAAACACTCATGGTTTTTATTGCACACATTGCAATCATTTGCACTGGATGCCTATTTTTCCTTGATTCATTATGTTATTTCTTACCGTGTGTAATATTCTGCTTTGATAGCTATTTGAGGATTTTCGAACGTTGATTGGCGGGAGTTTGAATTTCTTATCAGTTTATAATAAATACATATATTATTTCTTATTTGATTTAACATTGCACTTTTACCTACACCACACCGTCGCCTCTTCCTCACCCCCGCTGCAGCACGCACCAAGGAGTCCCGTAAAGAGCAGCTTGTATTACAAAAAAAAAAAAAAAAATTGTTTATAGCCCAAAAATATTTAAGAAAATTTTTTTGAAGCCCCGCAAATTTTCCTACCTGCAATCCTGTTATTGTGGTTTTCTCATATTCCTTTTTACCTGTTTCCCATCCTTGTTTGTCTATGTTTTTTTTTTCTCCTTAAACGATCGGACATTTTCAGTTAATTTTTTTTTTTTTAATTTGAAGGGGTTAGAATCATAAGGGTCTAAGTGACATTTTTTGAAAATATAAGTTATACCCATATTTGTATAGTTAAATATAGTGTTTATTTGGTGACAAAGAGATCCAAGTCATTTCGGACATTGCAGTGCCATCTATTGGCCGGGCAAGAATCATTTCAAATGCATTTACCCAGAATTTACAATAAGTAATCAACTTTAACCTTAATTATCTCAAAACAATGTCAGACCTACTTAGATCCTTTTGATAGTAACCCCTTCATTTCATAGCTCACAACGCCGTAAAAGATAATTTTATATGCTTAACTTAAATTTTTGTATAGTGAAAGTTTAATTTAAAAGCAAGAATTGTTCACACTTGCCTGGTTATCAGGTTATCTGGTTAAAAATTATTATTGTGTAGTGTATTTTATTGTTGTAAACTGAATAAAAAATATAGCCATATAAACACATAACCTGATAACCAGGCAAGTGTGAAGAACCTCAATACTTAAATGTTTTATTACAAACGGAAAAACTTTTAATTGTTATATGCGCTTAAATTCTTAATATCACTTATGGTTACTACACTGTACATGTATCTAATATTATTACGTATTATTTGCATTTGTTTTGTTAAAATATTTTATCATTTGTTTTTATAATTCTATTTAGTTATTTAGCCATTTCGGCGGCTTTAGCTAGCGAGGCTGATTTCATATTTATACCCGAGGAGCCGGTCCCAGTTAACTGGCCGGAAAAATTGTGCAAAAAAATACTGCAGGTCAGAGTGCAGTTTCAATTTGGAAAGCTTAATTCATAATTGTTTTGACTTATGGTTTTGCGGTTATTTGTTAGTAATTTGTTTATAAGCTTTTGTAAAAATTACTTCTCTTTTGCTTGCTAAGGGTTTGGCTGGTGCATAAGCTGGAAAAGCTGCATAAATTTTTTTTTTTCTTTTGGGACAAACAATAATGTATTAAACAATAATAACAACAGCTTGTTCTTAATATAATATTTTTAAACATTTGATGAATAAAGGAAAACGTGTTTAGGTCAACCTGAAAAACGATATAAACCGATTTAACGTTTCTATTAAGATTTACTACGAATTGAATCATTTTGTCTCTGTTTCGCTGGAGTGAAATTATACTTCTGACAACTAAATATTTTCACTAGAAACAGTACGAGTTTATCAGATATTGCTGCATATTCACAAATGAAGACTTAAGCACTTTTTCCTATTTAGCGTAATCTTCCTCCCGCGTTTCTAATATATTTATTTTTTTTTTACTAAACATATACATATGTAAGTACACATATTGTGACCGCCAAAAAAAACTTTTGTCGTAAAGGTATTTGTGTTTATTTGGTGCGTGGACTAGATTACGTTTGTTTTTATATTGCTTTGTTTTTGGTAGGATATTCATACATACATAAAGGCCTAATAAATTTGTGAAGAATAAAAAATTCAAAATTATTAATCGAATAAGCAAATTCACCCCACAAAAAAAAATTAAGTGTGCATACATACATACATAAATATTTCTACATTCGCTTTCGCGTTTTTTTATTTCTTACATCACTCTAGTGCCATTCGATGTACAACGACTATTCACTGTACATATCCATCAAATTTTTTTTTTGTCATCACAAATCCATCGGGACATATGTACATATATAGGCTTAGTTCGATTCATTAAAAAGCAATTGAATGGTAACTTTCGCCAACATCACGCTTAATAGTTGTAGTTGTATTTTTTGTTATTTGTTCATCTATTATTGCTAAAATAATAAATACATATCGCCCATTAATTAACCCGTTTTTTTTTGTTTAAAACTAAATTTTGATAAATGTACATATTTTCTCACTATTCCATTTGTCGATTTATGTATACATACATTCATATGTATGTGCGAGTGTTAAGACTTAAACATTTTTTCCAGAAATATTTAAAGAGATAAAATCAATATCGAAGTTTTAAACTCGTTGCAATTTATATATTTATTAATAGAGTATTTATAGAAACTAAACACGGAGTGACCCACATGGAATTTTAAGATTTGCTTTATGTGACTCAAAACAAAAAAAAAATAAGTTACCTTTACAAAATTTCTAACTTTAGGAAAAAGGAATATTTATGCAAAAAACCTACATTTGTACATATCATGAATTATATATGTAAATCGACAAAGTGGGGGAACTTAGTAGCTCCAATATTCATCCTAAATGTATTCGTAAACGTTTCATAATAATTTTTGTTGAATTTTACTAAATGCGTCCACTAATTGCAACTTTTTCTTCAAACATCCAAACCCTATCGCTTTAATTTCCAAACAATCAGGAGCGTAATGCTGGTCAACGCTTGAACATTATTATCGTCGCCGAGGGTGCCATCGATCGTGAGGGCCACCCCATTACTGCCGAGGATGTCAAGAAAGTGGTCGTTGACAAGCTGCAGCAGGACACTCGCATCACTGTGCTCGGTCATGTGCAACGTGGTGGTAATCCCAGTGCTTTTGATCGTGTTTTGGTGCGTAGTTTTTCAATAAAAAGAATGTCGACATTTCTATAATGAATAGAACCTTTCTCGCTTAGGGTTGCCGCATGGGTGCTGAGGCTACGTTGGCTCTTATGGAAGCCACACCTGATTCAGTGCCATGTGTCGTCTCGTTGGATGGCAATCAGGCGGTGCGTGTACCGTTGATGGAGTGCGTTGAACGTACCAAAGAAGTCGCCCAGGCGATGGCGGAGAAGAATTGGGAATTGGCCGTGAAATTGCGTGGACGCTCTTTCGAACGCAATCTGGAAACTTACAAAATGTTGACGCGTCTGAAGCCGCCAAAGGAATCGATCGAAAACGCAAAGGTGAGCAACAATTGTTGGGTGAATATATTAATGGTTTTTTTTTTTAACTTTTTCTGTTTCTTTAAGGAGGGTTTTCGCATGGCTGTCATGCATATTGGCGCACCCGCTTGTGGTATGAATGCTGCCGTGCGTAGCTTTGTGCGCAACTGCATTTACCGTGGTGACACTGTTTTTGGCGTGCATGACGGCATTGAAGGTCTGATTGCTGGCAATATCAAGGAGATGGGTTGGTAAGTAGTTCAAATCTCAGTTCTCGCATTGTTTCAGCATTAAAACCATGAACACTTTTAGGTCAGATGTAACTGGTTGGGTTGGTCAAGGTGGTGCTTTCCTCGGCACTAAGCGTACACTGCCCGAGGGCAAATTCAAGGAGATTGCCGCACGCCTCAAGGAGTTCAAAATCCAAGGCTTACTTGTTATTGGTGGCTTTGAGGCCTATCACGCTTGCGGTCAGATCTCCGATCAGCGTCCCAACTATCCTGAATTCTGTATCCCAATGGTGGTTATACCATCAACTATCTCGAATAATGTTCCTGGTACTGAATTCTCACTCGGATGCGATACCGGTCTCAATGAGATTACAGAGATTTGCGATCGTATACGCCAATCGGCACAGGGCACAAAACGCCGTGTCTTCGTCATTGAGACAATGGGTGGCTATTGTGGTTATCTAGCCACTTTGGCTGGCTTGGCTGGTGGCGCTGATGCTGCATACATCTACGAGGAGAAATTCTCCATTAAAGATCTGCAACAAGATGTCTACCATATGGCCTCGAAGATGGCCGAAGGTGTCCAACGTGGTTTGATATTGCGCAATGAGAAGGCTTCTGAAAACTATAACACTGATTTTATACACCGTTTGTACTCAGAAGAGGGCAAGGGTCTATTCTCGTGCCGTATGAATATTTTGGGTAAATGAAATGTTTGAATTACGCGTTCTATTTATGAAATACAAATGGGTCTTTCTTTGTTACTGTGTAGGTCACATGCAGCAGGGTGGCTCACCAACGCCTTTCGATCGTAATATGGGCACCAAGATGGCTGCCAAGTGCGTTGACTGGCTGAATGAACAAATCAAGAGCAACACCAAACCAGATGGCACTGTGCGTTGTGAAAGCAGCGATTCAGCTTGTTTACTCGGTATTGTGCGTCGTCAGTACCGTTTCACACCTCTAGCAGATTTGATTGCCGAAACCAACTTTGAGTGAGTAGAGTTGAAAAATGTAAATTTCAGCCCAAATATGCGAGTGCGGCCGAGGCTATGTTCTAAAGTGGCACCAGCCAAGTCAAGAATTGCACCTGACTACCCTGATATGATCCGCGGAGCAGGCGGTATGAGGTACCAAGCACTGCGGGTTAGGAATTGAAGTGGATAAGAGTTGAGGGGGAGGAAGCTGGAAGAGTTTCGTTACTCAGTTGAGATCCAGAGTCCCTGGGGGCTGGGAGGATGCTGAGCTTGCCGTTTGGCTCGAGCAACCTAAGACCACAATTATTTTCATGGTCATTACGAAACGTAGAACCGGCACACGTGGAAAAATCTATCTACTCAGAAATTAATGTGTTTTAAGTGAATGCAAATTTTGTTTTTTTTTGCATTTTAAGCAATACTACACTGCTCTAGAAAATAGGCGTAAGGATTATCATTTGAATTGTTTTTTAAAACTAATGGACTTATTCATAAAAAAATAAAATAGTTTTAAAAAGCTCTATTCTATCTTAATTGATAGTTTCATACAGATTTTCGATTTATAAGAAACCCATTTAGAAATATATTTTTTTCTACTTTTACATAGACAACGCATCCCCAAGTCGCAGTGGTGGCTCAAATTACGTCCCCTATTGAGAATCCTGGCTAAACACGATTCCGCTTACGAAGAGGAGGGTATGTACATTACAGTCGAGGAGGAGTGTGCTACCGATGCGGTAGCTTAGGCATTGACAGCTACACTAGGAAAGCAGTATAGTAGTAGCAAGTGACTAAACACTCAAAAGTGTTCGCTACTCGTAACAAAAAAACACGCCAGTTGCATTAAGTTAAAAGCTACAGAATGCGTGAAAATTGGAGTAACATATTCATGAACAAATAAACACAAAAGTAAATATTAAACGCACATAAATTATCATATTTTTACTTTGCTGGATTAGCAAAGTGATTCGCTTCTATGATTTAAATTATTATTACATGTTATCATATCATTAAATACATACATGCGTAAATACATACATATATTCGTTCCATAACATACTTGAAAGGTGTTAACAGAAACTCAGGTTCTAGCACAATTCTACACAAACTAACGTTGGACACCAATTGTAAATTTTGCGTAAATTGAAAGAAAAAAAAAATCATGTAGATTTACGTAAATGGTCATACGCTTTTGCTTTGATGGATTTATTTTACTAATTTTATGTATTTTTTTTTTTTATTTTTTATTTATTTTAAAAGCTGCATGCCATGTACATACATGCATATGTATGTACACATGTTTATGGCTTCCATTGTATTATTATGTTTTGTGATTAAGTTTGCTGTACATGAAATATAACTGATATTAAATTGTACTCGTATTTGCATTAGCAAAAAGGCATAGAAAAAAGTTGTGGCAAAATTAAAACAACTGTTTAGTATATTGAGATGTTTCAATCTTCGAGCTAGAAGGTCTTGTCGATGTTTTATTGAACAACGCTAATGTTGAAGTAAAAATAAAATTCCAATAATGTATTCGTAAATACCATATACATACATACATAATATATTAAAAGTTAATAGCAGTTTGTTGTTATTGTTGATGCGAACTACTACTTGTGCTGACTTCAATAAAGGGATTTTTAGGCGCGAACACCCACCGCTGCAACAAAGCGTGCACAACTTATCCACTCATGACCCGCAAAGTTACCCGGAAGACGTGACTTGCGTAGCAACAACTGTGAATTACTTAAGGCTATAAGAAGAATAAAGTTACTCGATATAAAAATATGTATACTTACAAATACATTTTTAAACAGAATTGTAAGTACCTATCGTAACAACTAGCAAGAATGTCTGTAAAGCAAAACGAACGAAAGAAAAATAAACGAAATGCGTTGCATTGTTAAACGAAATGTTGTATGAGTATTTCAGTATAAATCAAATGCCTTGATTCAAAATTACATGCATACGTTGATTCCACAAAAACTTAAAACTTGAACTATTTATTTAGTTGTACAAACGTATGTATGTATGTACCTGTTTTTATCCTCGTTTTTCATCTGCGGGTGTGAAAAAATGTTACATTACAAAAAATGTATAAGAATAAATACAAAAATGCAAATGTTATGATATTAATAAAAAATTAAAGAAAAGAATATTACTTAATTGATTGATTTTCATTCGAGGATGGTAGTCTTCAAATCAATAAAAAATTATAGTTAAAAAAAACTAAAACCTCGCTATAAAATTCCCATTCGTACTGTCATCAGGTATCTAACTTAAAAATAGAAATCGCTGCATCTTTTAGGCGCATCAATATTACATATATGTACTATAGTTACATCCCAAGCTAATAAAAGGGAGGTAATAAATAGAGCTTTGGCTAAAAGAGCCCCAGCTAAAGTTTAGGATTTTCTCAACAATTATTGTATGTCCTTAAAACACAAAGGATCTTGTCGACTAAATATTTGCTCAGACGGATGGAAAATATTGGGGGACCGCAGCGAGACAATCCAGACTACACGGCATACTAGCAGGAGTAATTAAATCTATACCCTGTATAAAGTTACACTCGTTCGATACATTAAAATCCTCAACGGGTGTTTAGGGAATGAACGCAACTTATTGTTGATAAGCGTGAAGTTTGAGTAAGGTTCGCATAAAAACTAGTTTCGGAGGACTCAGCACTCGCGATGTCCGGAGCATGGGCTCTTTTCGCATATCCCCGGCGTAATGAGAACAACGCTTTTTTAAATAATCGTAAAAGCAGCAATAAGTGCTGCGTCCGGACGTTACTAGATTTAGAAACAACGTTCTTAGTTGACTAAGGGTAGGTTTAATATTAAATCAGGAGAAACAGTGGATGGAATCATATGAACAGTAAAAGCATAAACAGACGGCAGCGTTGATCTGGATCAACTCGGGGGGAATTAACTGCAGTTGATCCGGATTAAGTCCGAGTTAGTCCGGCCAACGCTGCTGTCTGTTTAAGCTTTAACAGTCGTAGAGTTTCGTGCTCAAACCGGATCCCGACGAAATATCTACTTAACTTACACTCACGGTTTTTAAGATAAGGCTTTCGATGCTTCCTCCTCGGAAAAAATAACAAAAAAGCCCCTCAAGAAAAAAAAAAATGCAATATGCCTTAAATGAGAGTCCACACTTTTGTTGACAACTCTTGCAAATAATTTAAGGACTACGGTTTTAAGGTTCCTGGATTTTTCGATGCTGTAATGGAAAATGTGGATCTAGCCGGCTGATTGGTGTCCTCGTAAGAGCAAATGCAGACGTCACCGACCGAAAGGTAAGAAAATTTTTAATCACATAATTGAATGGTTGCAGCTGCCTACATAAAGGAGTTATATCGCAAAATCTTGGATCTTAATAATCGGTGATATAGGAGATATAACTTATACAACACCGAACTTGATGATTTTCTTGTTTACTTTGTATGATTATTTAGAAAATAGCTAACGGAATTGCTCGGTATTACCCGTCCAAAGGAAGGAGTTTTAAAGTAAAACTCCATATCGGGACAATCATCTGCTATAGTGGCGCGATTGTGTAGGTTCCGACAAATGATTAATACATTATAAAAGTACACAAGCTTACTAAATTTCAGTCGGATATCTCGAAAACTGAGGGACTAGATTACGTTCAAACAAACAGACAGACGGAAATGGCTAAGCCGACTCAGCTCGACGTTTTGAAAATGGGCCTATCTCTTCTTCTTCTTCTGGTACCTAAAAGTATTAAAGTTATAACAACATTTCTTGCTCATGAAAGGTATAAATAAAAACACAGCCAGGTGTGAATATCCCAAATATTAAATATTAATGGGTCCTTTTCGTTTTCCCAGTCAGAACCACTATTAATATAAAAAAATCATATCGAGGGCTTATATTCATCAAAACAACTTGTCTGTAGTTTTCACAAAAACTACTTTCTGATGTTAGAACCCAACTGGGATTTATGTAAGTGTCATCACTGATGTTGCTTTTAACTTTGCAATTTAATAAAAAAATCCCTCTAAAAGGCGATGAAGAAGGTAAACGTCAATATAATATATATATCAGAATCTCATTTTTCAGAAAATTGCAAATAGGGTGTATTGAACATAAGTCCTCGAGATAAAATTTTGCAAAATCGGTAGCAGTATTTTATAGTTTTTTTTTGGTTACTTCAATAGTTGCAAGAAGCAATTGAAATTGAATGCTCCATTGCTTGTTAGCGACTTGTATGCTTGTAAAACACTGTGCTCATGATAAAAAGTAGCCTAAAAAAATTTATAAAAAAACCCCATTAGCTTCGGATATTGGCTTGGCATTAAATATGTAAGGAATGGTGCGCGCTGTTGAAGGAAATCCCCTGAAACTTAATAAACACAGAATGACTCAATCAGCATTTAAATAAATATTGGCGTCCAGCTCTTTATGGCAAACGACAATCAATGAGTCATGGTTTTTTTTCTGAAACTTCCACAACAATGCTCATCCGCGGTAGTAAAGTAAATGTGACTAGTACGACTGGAAGTGCTGAATTGTGTAAGGCTCTATTTGGTTGCAGAATACCCTTAAAGTCATGAAGTGGACAAATTTCAACAGACTCGGAAAATCTCATGTTCGCTGAAAAGTCTACGATTGTGTCTTTCCACTGCTTTTAGAGAATTTAAATTAAGTTGATAACCATTGAAATTCCGCTAATGGCAAAATTATTTTTTAGACCTACCCTACCACCTCTAGTTTACGACATAAATAGTAAATGGAAGCATCGTGTTGTTTATTATGTCGGGTTTACTCGCCCCGAAACTTAAAAAAGATCGATTGTGCTCAACCATAATTGAAAATCACTCTAATCTTAGGTTATTTAGGACATTGACCACAGTGGAGAGTGCCAGACCTAAATTTTGTTAAGGAAGTCCAACCTCAGCAATTTTTTTTTTGGACCTATGGTGCCGTCTTCGCTGGAATGACCCATCAGCCAAAGGTATAACGTTTTGTCATTAGTTTATGATGATAGAAGGATTTACAGATGCCTTCGGTTACCAATATCCAACCATTTAAAAACAAAACAGTTTGAAATTACCTATGCCCCTTTTAAAATAAATACAAATACACAGTCTTTAATTGATGATTCTATTGGGTATTCCTCTTAATGAACAGTTGCCTGTCTCTGAGTCATTTAATGAAATGATCGTTTGTCTCAGGTATAGATGCATGTATATCAGTGGCGAACGCAGGTAGGGGTTTTGGGGGTTCAACTCCCCACTATTTGCAAAAATCTGCAGATAAAAAACCAAGCAAGGAGAATGAATACAATGTTGTGTACAACAAACACCTCATTTTGACATTCGGAATACGGCTACGAAAATCTCAGATACTCTGGTAACACCACCTTGTATGAACTTACCTTGGAACTAACATAACCTCTAAAAGTACTACATACATACATACATATACTATAGTATACTATACACGCATATCCTTGATATGAATTTTAAGATTTTAGAAGCTTTCGAAAGGGTAAAAATAATTGAACTCAGAATACATAGTTCTCTCAAAATTTTGCATGCTCAATATCTTTTAGAGTTTCTAGTGAACGCGGGTTACTGATCCATATTCTGAGAAAAAATTAATTTACCTATTTGGAAGAAAAAGTGTATTTTCAATGTCCGTAAATCACCAAAACAAATGCGAATGCATTCCGTAAAAACAAGTAACGAGTTTGCACAAACTACAGTGACAACCGAAAGTTCACCTGACGAGTATCAATTAGCGCAAAAACTAAGACGCTCTGTTGCTGAGGACCTTAGTGCACCTGATTTTAGAGTAAGTCATCGAGTCCCACAGTTCCCAGTATATAATGAATACTAACGATTAGGCGTAGTTTGGTTAAGGCCAGAAGTCATCTCTGCTCTAAGTTGAAAAAAATTTTGACCACCATTGTTTTCAAGATGCCGGTAATTTCACAACCCTTTGCGTCCCGAAAATCAAGTTTTACATTCCCTGCGACCTAATTTACATATTGACGTTCTTGCAGGTTCCACTTAGTGATGTGTAAAATATTTCTCGCGATAACTAAGCTTTAACGAGAACTTCTTGAAAATCTGTGGTCACCGGATGCTAATTTTAAATTTCCGCCTTCGACCAATCGTAATTTGAAATTTCAATTATCATGTGTTAATATGTGTCAAAAGAAATTTTCTACACATTTCCACAAACTAATAGGAGTGCGATATTTTGATCAGTTTGATATCTTTCTATAAAAGTCTAGCTGGTTATACAACAAACACCAAAAAAATAATTTCAGGCTTCAATATATGTACAAAAATGATAAACATTTTGGAAAATTTCACCAAAGTTTCAGACTTTTTAATCAGAATCTTTAGAAAAAATTTTGGTGTGCAGTTTTGTAGCCCATTTCATTTAATTCTGATGAAGGCGATTAAAGCGCCAATAAATGAAGAAAAAGAAGAAGTGCAAGTTTTAAGCTGCTGAAAAATCCCTTTGATTTTTGGCCATTTTTTTTTTGCTGGCAGTGTTCTGTATGTATGTACATACATATATAAAATAAAATTGTCGAACATACTTTGTATGGAAAAAACATGAAACACCTTCAACCAAAAAAAAAAAAAATCTCAGAAATCAACGAGATTTTTTACCAACATGAAACTTGCTCTTCGTTATACTAGAATTAAATGGGCTACAAAACTGCATACCAAATTTTTTTCTATTTTTTATGATTAAAAAATTTGAAATTTTGATGAAAATTTGCAGAATTTTTTATAATTTTTTACACAAAGTTTGAAATGTAAAACTTTTATAAAAAAATAAAAAAAACAACATTAAATACACAAAATTGGAATTGATTATATGAAAAAAATTTTAACCAACACTTTATTGTGTCTGCAATA